CCCCAAAACCCCAAAACCCCGCAATGATTAATACAATGATCATAATGTAGCAAAAAATGATCAAAATATTCTCTGAACATATCATTAAATTTATATATTTAAAAAGTAATTATACAATGCAACAACATATGGGAGATGTACTCTTTTATTTCAATAATTCTATACAATCTTGCAAACTTAGCAGAGATTTTAAATAGTTCAAATCCAACATTGAGAAGGTAATTGGTTAAAACAAATCCATTAACGAAACTTACTTATTTCAATATCTTGATGTCGAATTCAATCTGATATCATTCACAGAAGTCAACTATCAATAAACAATTCTTAATGACTATCAAAATAGAAGAGTCGATGTAATGATTTTAAGAGAATATAATGAGATTGATAATCTAAAATTTGATGATAACTACAATGACTTGTATTTGATGATTGAATAGTACCATTATGAATAATAATTTTCAAGAGAAAGTTTTAAAACTTTGACCAATTTACCAGCTTCTCGTTCCAATTTGCAATTCAACCGTAGATCTTAAATATTAAATAAATTATCAGAATAATAAAGCTTGCATAATGATCAATCCTAAAATGAAATTGATCAATAAATATCTTTATAAACTTCAGATAAAAAATAAGGATATTTTGATGGAAACTTATAGTAAAACAAAAGTATTAACGGCCAACAAGAACTAAAAGAAGAGAATTAAAGTATAGAGTTTCAACCCGTTTAACCTAATCTTGCATTTGCTAATCCATTTTCACTTACAAAGAAAGAGTCAAGGCCTGAAATGTAAAGAAAAATGCAATAGATTGTCTAAGCATCTTTAGAATCATTAAAAAATTAAGCACAAGCTGATACAATCTACAACTAATAATTGATGCCTTAAAAAGACGTTACAAATGATCCATAAAGCAAGATATTTAAGGAATAGTAGATAACAAATGAAAAGCAAATAGCTATCACTGAAGGATAGCTTGATGCTCAGCTTGCTAAGAATGAAGAAAGAAAAATATCTGTTAATCAATGTAAATTTGATAAAGATAATTCGTAATTAAGCTAGATTTCCTATGTGAAACCCTACGAGGTAACTTACCCAAACACATTTTAATTTGGGAAAAATAAAAACACCAAGTTAATTGAGAAATAACATGTAGTCATAAAATAAAATTCCAACAAAAAATAAAATTCTGAAATTAAATTAGATACAAACCTTATAAAGCAGTCAAACAATATTCAAGAAAGCAATAATTTATTTTAAAGCATAAGCCAGTCACAACTTAGTTGTTTGAAGTGCAGTTCCTTGTAGAATTAGGAAGAGGAGAAGTAATTTGAGAAATGTAATTGTGATAATGGCTTTATGAAATTGCAGTAACAGAATGAAATAATTTAGACTTTCTTGACTTAACTTGAGCAGGTAATCAAATAAAAGAAACATGATAAGAACAATAATTCAAGACTAATTGTAACTATACTTAAAGATAAACAAGTGAAATTCTAAATTGAGGAGAGATCATTGTTTGATTCAGATAATCAATTCGATAACTCTGAGATTCCTCCTAAATCTATTTAGAAAATTAGTTTTAACTTGAATTAGTAAAGTAGTGGAACTGTTATCTTAAGGTAAACCTCTAGTATTGCTTCTTAATTAAGTTAATCTCAGTCATGTAATGTTTTGCTGAGTACTGAATAATACAAATTCGATCTGAACAGCAACTACACAAATCCACTTAATTCTGTATAAAGTTCAACTGCTGTGCTAAGAATGTCTGTGCATAGAGGATTTAAATGTATGCATTGTAATGATTTCATCTATGGAATTAGATATTAATGTTAAATATGTGCAAACTAATCTATCTGTTAAAATTGTGAAGGTAATGGTAGTCATTAGGATGATCATATCTTACTTAAAATAAAAAATCCAATTAGCATTGAAGGCTCTGCTTAAATTCATAAAGAAGTTTCAAAAGAGGAGGAACCTGATAATGATTCTAAATCTACTGATTAAATAGTGAAAGATAACAATGATAATGATTGTGAAATTTTTAAAAACGAATAAAATCAAGTGCAATATTTTAAACTCTCAAACTCATTAAATACTAAAAGAGACAAGGCAAAAGCTAAATTGTAATAAATTTTGGAAAGTAAAGATGAATAAGTTGAGACATCTATCCACGCTTAATCTGATAAGAAAAATGTAAATTTCAAGAAGGAAAAATAGCTGAAATTTTAAATTAATGAAGAAATATAAGATGATGAGGAATTGAATGAAGATCTAGTTCATGAAATAAGCTTTAGCAAAGAGCCTTCAGTTTTTAATATTGATACTAGCATAAAACGATAATCAGACATATCTATCAACAATAATAGATACACTCCTAGAATCACGAATGATTATGAAGAAGACAGCTGTGAAGATGATGAATAGAATTTCTTCAACTTACCTGAGAGAGATAAAGATAATTAGCTAGATGATGGAGGCTAAGATGAGTCTTAATTTGAGGATATGTTTTAAAAAGCAAATTCTATGGAATCAGACAATCAGGATGCCACTGCAAATAATGAAAATTAAAATGATTTAGAGAAAAAAATAGATACCAACAAATAAACAACTGATTAATACGATATAGATAAAATGGAATAAAAAAATGTAGGAAAATTAGTTAGATTGAAATAAAACAAGATAATAGAAATCATTGAAAGATATGAGTAGCAAAGTAAGTAATTGAAAGAATTATTCTTAAATGGATAACACATACCAAAGGATCTTCGATTTATTGATGAGCCCTAGAATTAAAATAATGTAGAGAGAGAATATTTAAACTAGGGAATGATTTTATGATCATTTTAATCAAGAGGAAGACATTGAACTATAATAGAAACTAAGCTTTTGATGATGATTTATAATTTTTATTATTCAAATTTGATAATATAATTGGCAAATTGTAATAATAAACCAATTTTTATTATTATTTTTGTTTAATCTCTTTTATCAAATATGTGGATTATTTTGATTTTTAGAAGTTGGGGTTTTGGGGTTTTGGGGAGATCGG